ATTTGGTTACATAATTGAGTTTTTATAATTTTTATAGTTAAAAATAATCTTTTATAATAAAAATTACAATCGATAAAATCAATATCAAAATCTCATCTATTTCTAACTCCTTTGTTATCGTCTGTCTTCTACAATGTTACCTAACCACTCTTCACACATCACCCTTTATATATAAAATTTAAAATATTATTTGATAAAATTTAATATTAATTAAATAAATTTGATCTTAATTTGATAAATTTAAATATTAATTTGGTGTTAATTTGATAAAATTAAATATTAATTCAGTATTGATTTGATAAAACTTAATGTTAATTGAATAAATTTAAATATTACTTTAATAAAATTAAATGTCCATTTGGTGTTAAATTAAATAATTGACATTAATTTGATAAGTTTAAATGTTAAATTAATGCAATTTAATAATCTATTTAATATATTAAATTTTAATTTAATAAAATTGAATGTCAATTTGATGAACCTAAAAGTTAATATAATAGTACTAAAAATGAGTGTATTAAAATTTTAGAATCGAGAGAAAATATTGTTAAAAATGAGTCTATTCACAGGAGGTGTCGTTGAAATTATTCTTTTTATAAGGGGTGTGAATAAAATTTATCTAATAAAATATTTGGGGGTATTGTTGTAAATTAATGATTTCTGTTAATGTCGTAACTCCGACAAACATTGACAAATGGTGACATTGAAATTTTAAAATTATGAGTGAGTGTAATTAAATTTAGACTTAATTGTAGGATGTGTGGATAAAATTTTCCCAATAATAAATCATGTACCCAACTCAGCTTGTGGACGGGTTGACGGATCAATGGGTAGGGACTATCATTTTTTCTCTGAACTGTGGGACAGTGGGAGTAGGGACTCCTACGATGGCACACAGGTGTGGTCCTTTTATGACTGCTTAGCCCATCATCCCATTTCTTTTCCACTTTACCTTTTTATTGGGAAGTTTCTCTAACGTACTTGTGCGGGGAGAAATTTGCACAAGAAGTTACCACTTCGAATGGATAGAGATGACGGTAGAGAAGTCTCGAACGTCTTATCAGACAAGAGTTAGGTGAACTGATGGTCAGAATAGCCAAAAAAACTCTGATTAACAGTGTCATATGTTTTTTTAATGTGCTACAATGATTTAAACGATTTTCTTATTAACCGTCTATTACCGTCTTTAATTTTTTGGGATGACCTGCCTTGTACCATTTACCAGCTTGGGTTTTTAGGGATAACCTAGCTTTCATTAAGCTTTGCTTGGCACTAGTTTTTCAGTTCGACCGAGCAGATCATATTCTGTCGAGCCGTTTTTGTTGTTCGAGCTTTTATCCAACTTGCTCGGTCGAGGCCTTAAATCAGCTCAGCCTAGCACTTACTTTAGGGGACCCTTCTTGCTTGATCATGACCAAATCACGACCATTTTAGCACATGATCTTGCCATGTATCATAGTATTGTTATTAAATAATGGGTCCCTTAAACTAGCATGAAGAACAAATTGCCAATAACAAAATCAATTCATAATGTTCATGATAACCAAGAATTTCACATTGTAGGATCAACATGTGGAAGCCAAGTTGAACCAAGAAGTTGAGCACTGGACGAGAACTTCTTGTGGAGGAAGAAGTAGTTTGGTACTGAAAAATAGGGTTATTTATCAAACTGAGCTAGTCGAGCTCGGTTCGGATTCGACTTAGATTCGGTTCGTTCAGGTTTGATTCGTTTTCTAAATAAGTCCAAACTTGAACAAGTTTTTAGGTTCGTTTAAAAAACAAGTTCTACAAACTCGATTCAAACTCGAAAGGCTCGACTTGTTTATATGCAAATACTTGGGCTCGTCTCAGTCTCGACTTATTTTTGGCTCGTTTAGGCTTAACTCATTTCTTCAACGAGCCCAACTTAAATAATTTTTTAAACTCAATTGAAAAAAAAACTTTTTAAACTCGACTCGAACAACCTCCACTGACCGAGCATGTATTTGGTAGAAAAGTGAGTTTTGTGATTTTACTATTGAAATGTAATGTAAAGGTGTGTTCACATGGGTTAGACCCACTAGCTGATGGATGAAGACTTTGACAAAACATTTGGTCATAGCAGTTTTATTGATAACCTAGCAACAACCCGTCTTTGAAGACAATTTATAATTCTAAAAATTAAATATTAATCGTGTAATATTTATATTTTAAAATTAAAAAAAAAAGTATAGATTAATGAGATTGTTTAATATTATGTAATGCGTTGATTGAATTGTTTGATATTAGAGATCGTGTAGAGAATATGAGTACGAATTTTTTTTTTAAGATAAACTTTATATCATTTGATCAAAGTAAATGAGTGTTAAATCAATCTTGACCATTGTTATACTTTTACAAATTTGAGAATCCGACTTTCTAATTATAACGTTAGATAGATGTTATGAATGATGTTATTTTGATATTATTTGCGAACAATTATGAAAAACACATGGCACAGACCCCTTTCTCTCTCTATCTTTTACTCTTATTTACACCGGTAGAAAGTCCATCTATATTTCTATAACAATCAAATAACCGAAGGAGGTTTTAAAAGGCCTGTACTTTGATTTTCTTATAATTTTTTGAAAAAATTTAATTACAAAATTACAGTTTTCTCCAATTAACAATCAATAAATACATGGATAATGGAAGGAGCACTAAATATATTTGTAACCAAAACTTTTTAACCTTGATGAACAATTGATTCAGGGGATTGTTTGGTAAGGGAGTACGAGGCTTGACAAGATGTGTTTAAAAAAATAGTTCAAAGGACCTTCAAACCTTATGTTTGGTTTGAAAATTCAATCTTGGATTTCCAAACTTAGTCCGTAGTTGGTTCGAATATTAAACATATGATCATGAGTTTCATCAACCCTAAGGGGTGAGTTTGAAAAAATGAGTTAAGAGGTTAAAGATGTAAAAAATAAATTTATCCCTTAACATGAGTATGAATTAGATTGATCAAGAGTAAAATGGTCATTTATCGGATAAATATTTATTAATAATTATGATATATTTGTGGGTCTTACATATATATATATACTAGTTATTGTCCATGCCTGAAAATACAGAGTAATAAAAAATGGTAAACAATAAACATATTTGTATTCATATCTAAAATCAAATTACAAACATAGAAAAAAGATAAATAAATTTAAGTATCGATATATAGTAGGGGTGAGAGGTGGTGGGTGACAGTGGTAGTGGTAGAAGACAGTGATGGTTGTGGTGGGTGACAATGACTGTAGTGACGGTGGTGCCAGCAACGACGACGATGATGGTGGCGGTGATGGGGGTTGTGGCGGTGGGCATGTAGGTGGTGGCGGCAGTGATGGTGGTGGTGGCGGCGACGACAGTAGTGGCGATGGTGGTGGTGGTGGCGGCGACAGCGATGGTAGTGGTGATGGCGGAGGTGGTGGCAGAGGTAGTGGTTTGACGGTCTCAAAAGTACTTAAAAAGTTATTCCAAACACACCCTTAAAGTCTATTTTTTCTATTAAATTTAGGGTGCTAATATTAGCCGTCAGATTAATTTTAAAGTAAAATTTAAAACGATCTAAATCGCGAATAACAAAAGTCATTTTGTTTATCTTTTAAAATTTGAATTATAAGCTACTTTATTATATATATATATTTGTGTGTGTGTGTATATGTGTGTGTTTTATATACTAAATATGAGTATTAACCAAATTCAATATTAAATCTCACTTTTATAAAAAATGTTTTGAATTTATAAAAATTTAGAAAAGTTAATCCAAAACTTCTCTAAATGTCCAATCCCCAATGTTTATCAAAGTGCAGTTTTGACCAAAAACATTGATCCAAGTGGTAGGCCAACCAACCTGCTGACCAAGCCTACCTCTGCTCTTCTCTTCTCCTTCTCTTGGTCTGAGGCAGGAATGCAGCAAGCTGTCTTTCAATGGTGCATTTCACATTAGTTAAATAACGTTTCTGTCGCTTTTTTAGTGACTCATTTCCAACCAAACCCATTCAATCTGAATCCTCTTAGTTTTTTTAATCACTTTTTCTGTTAGTTTGACAAATATTAAATATTAATTACACTGCAAATTATACAAACACCTGTTGAAGTTTACATTATATATACTCCATCACCAATGATTTCAAATTTTACATATAAACCCTAGGTGGCTTTCTGAATTGATGGATTCAAACATAATATAAATTTATTCTAATGCCCTCACTTTTAATTTTTTTTTCTTTTTAACATTTCACCGCCTTTTGATCGTGGGGTATGCCGAATCCCATCACATAATCGTGGGAGAGTAGGAAGCAACGAATGTCGAGGTTTGAATCTCGTTACAAAGTTAGGATTGGAGGTTACATTAGGTTATCAATAATAACAAAAAAAAATCTGATTTGCAAGAATTAGAATTTTATTTTTCACCCTTGAAAAAGTGATGGTTTAATTTAATTTAATTTTTTTTATGAAGTGGGTGACACTTGGAATTAACTGTTAATATGGTGAGCTGAAGTTGGTGGAGATAAATGTATTTGACTAAAAATTGTCAACCAAAGCCAGCAAACTCAAAGAGACTATGTCCAGGCTTGCAGCTGTAAATTTGAAATCTGAAAAATAAAAAAGAAAAAAAAAATATTATCAAAAGGATGATACTGTTGAGTGGCATGCAATGAAATTTGATTGAGATTAATCAAAAAAATAAATTAAATTAATCAATTTTGATAAAAATTGAAATGGGGATGATGAAAATGTGAAGAAATAAAAATATGGACCTGTTTGGTTTACATTTTAAAAATTAGTATTCGAAAATAGTTTTTGAGAAGAGTTTTAAGAAAATAGTTTTAATATTTTTTTGAGATAAAAAATTTATTTGATAAGATTATTTTAAAAATAATTTTATAATGCAGTAAATATAGGAAAACCCGTCACGAATGATACTTAATGAAACCGCGTAACAGTGGTCACATATGAATACCAGAGTTGTTCAAAGTCTTCAATCTTCAAACTTCAACCCCGGACTCAGCCTCTTTCTTTTACATTTCCTTGTTGATTTCCTCGAGTTCTCTCTCTCTCTCCCTCCTTATACCTGTTCGGCCTTCAAGCAAACATATTTTCGTTTGGCTTTATCTGATTATTTTTAGCTTAAAATTCTGGGTTCCAATCACAGTTCTGTTTCCGGGTTTTTGTGTCAGAAAACTTTGCCCAAGAATGTTTTTGGTTGCTAAACTTCAAGCATAATTGTTTCTCTTTTTCATCCATTATTTGCTGTGTTCTTATTTCTGAATCAGTCAAAGTTGGTATACCTTCTGACAATTTTCTTAGCTTGGTTGGGGATTTTCTCAGATGCCAAACAGGAAAAGAAAGCAATCACCACAAATGGTATCCAAGTTCTTCCTTGTCCTGTCATTTCTTTCCTTCTTTTCAGGCGGTATTGTAGCCGCCGGAGGAGTTCATCGTCTCAACAACCTGAGTTTCAATGCCTCTTCTCTCGCCGGCATCGAATTGCCTGATCATACAAGCTTCAATGCCGTCTCTTCTTCAGCAAATTCGGGTTGTGGCCTCACAACATCGAAGAAAACAGCAACTTCTACCATAAGAACTGAAGAAGATGACCTTGATGAAGAAATTGCAGAACCTACAAAACCCCATCAACCTGCTGTTAAACTCCACCTAAAACATCGATCAGCAGGCCAAACAACTGAGGCCAAAGCATCAGTAATGGAGTCCACAGCAAGAGACCTCACCAGATTCCAGACACTGCATAAAAGGATCACAGAGAAGAAGAATCAGAACATCATCTCAAGGCTAAAGAAAGAAAATGAACAATCTGGGCGGTTATATAACCCATCAATCTCACCGGCAGCCTCGCCAGAATCTTATACAGACGGGTATTCCGGTCAGCTCATGGCGACTCTTGAATCTGGGGTGAGTCTTGGTTCAGGGGAATACTTCATGGATGTGTTTGTGGGTACACCTCCTAAACACTTCTCTTTGGTGCTTGATACTGGTAGTGATCTAAATTGGATTCAATGTGCTCCTTGTTATGATTGTTTTGAACAAAATGGCCCTCATTACAATCCAAAAGAATCGAATTCTTTTCAAAATATAAGCTGCCATGATCCCAGGTGCCACCTTGTTTCTTCCCCTGATCCTCCACAGCCTTGCAAGGCCGAGAACCAAACATGTCCTTATTTCTATTGGTATGGTGATAGTTCTAACACAACTGGTGATTTTGCCATTGAAACCTTCACTGTTAACCTCACAACACCTACCGGGAAGTCAGAGTTTAGGAAGGTGGAGAATGTAATGTTTGGTTGTGGCCATTGGAATAGAGGCCTATTTCATGGTGCTGCAGGATTGTTGGGACTTGGAAGAGGGCCTCTTTCCTTTTCCTCTCAGCTCCAATCTTTGTATGGTCACTCGTTTTCGTATTGTCTTGTTGATAGAAATAGTAACACAAGTGTTACCAGCAAGCTGATCTTTGGAGAAGACAAGGACCTCTTGAGACACCCAGAATTGAATTTCACTTCATTGATTTCTGGGAAAGAAAATCCAGCTGATACATTTTACTATGTGCAGATTAAGTTGATCATAGTTGGAGGAGAGGTGCTAAAAATTCCAGAAGATACATGGAATTTGTCACCAGAAGGAGCTGGTGGCACAATCATTGATTCAGGAACTACACTGAGTTATTTTGCTGATCCTGCTTATAAGATCATTAAGGAGGCATTTGCGAAAAAAGTGAAGGGTTACCCTGTTGTAGATGATTTTCCCATATTGGATCCTTGTTACAATGTTTCCGGGGTGAAGAAATTAGAGCTGCCGAGTTTTGCGATTCAATTTGGTGATGGGGCAGTGTGGAATTTCCCGGTTGAGAACTACTTTATTAAGCTTGAACCAGAGGAGGTTGTATGTTTGGCAATTTTAGGGACTCCAAGGTCTGCTATGTCGATTATTGGGAACTACCAGCAGCAGAATTTCCAGATCCTGTATGACACAAAGAAGTCTAGGCTGGGATTTGCACCAACCAAGTGTGCAGATATCTAACATCTTGTCCGGATTTTGAAGGATAGAAAAATTATACACACGTTGGGCTTGTTGGGAGATTATTCATTTTTCTTGTTCAAAAGGAGTTAAACATACTTGAAATTAGATTTTTGCTCCCTTATTCTCTTTTAGGTTGTTCAGGCGATTATACGTTGATTGACATAAATCAATCTGTTTAACAAAACTGTAATCATCCATTTTACGGTTCAATATATATTTTCAATATTTGGTCAAGAAGACTGAATGGATGACTTTTATACTCGAATCTGAATCTGCAGCTTACAACATTCTCATGTACTACCACCCGAAATCAATCTCTTTAAACTCAATTACTTTGTTATACAATATTGGTTGCCATTGTGTTCTGTTTATACTTCTAAGTCAGAACCCAATAATTGTATGTCTTCTGTTTGTAGTTAGTTGCCTGAATGGTTCTCGATTCTATCCTACAATCGGCTGTATTTTGTTTTATTTGGGATCTGTCATAGAAAACTGTCATAAACTGATGATGATTTCAGCCACCTGTATTATATAGTTCCCCATTATAACTACACATAGAGTCAGCTGTTATGCACTTGCCTTAGATTTCCCTTTTCTTTTCTCTTAACTATCCTGCGCTGAGGCATCAGTTGTGGACTTTTTCAGTTATTTACAAAGGTGGTTTGCCAAATGATTTTATCAGTTCCATATATACATGAACGACTCTTCATATATCGAATAATGACCTGTGGTTGTGGAGAAGACTCTGGATCTGTCCATTTTCTGCATCTGATTGTTCTTCACTCTCTCCAAATTGAGGCAATTTAATTGTTTAACCACCTTAACCCTCACATACCGGTGTCATCGCTATTGATGGTCTAACACTCACCAAATGCGGTCTGTTATTGATTCTCATTCGGGTTCAACTTCATATGTTTTTCTTAGAAGCTATATGGCCTCATGGTGCTTTTAACTTGGATTAATTTTACAACTAGTACGACTTCAGTGTCAGAACTGTCCTTCTTTACCTTCATGCTGGCCTTCTTATACTTTGCCCAATTACCCCTCTTCTACTAGGCAAACTATACTGGCTCAATGTTTGATTAAACGTCACACACACCAGGGAAGAGAAACTCAATGTGCAGGCTCAATCATTAACCTTGCTATAATGTTTGCTGAAGTCTTAATCTTTTATGTATCTGCCTTTTCAATGACACAACACCGTTAACTGTGTGCTGGCTGAAAGTGTATGATCCTGATCAATATAAGAGTTGGTTCCGCCACTCTCTGTTCTAGCATTTCTGTCAAATATTGGCATTGCCATCTTAACATTTATTCCAAGATCTTAGTATTACTACTTCCTCCCACCCAGTAAGCTACTCTTAACAAGTCACTTGGATCTTTGATTACGGACAAGACCTTTTTAAGTGAAGTCCTTTTATGGATTCCTCCTCCATTTCCTGAATGCGAATATTGGTTCTTGTTATTCGGATTGTTCTCCATAATCTGTAAACTTTGTTCTATCATAATATTAATATGAATCCTGCATGCAACTTTTTACACTTTATGGGCATATTTCTCCAAGTGATTCATATTATATAAGAAGGGGCCGGATGAATGTCTTCGATTTGCGAGTGGCATTCTGCTCAATTAGGCAAATGCGAGTGAGGGATAACCTTTTCCCATTCGGTAGGAGGGAAACGGCGGAAGAATTCGGGCTGAAATAGATGTTGAAAACCCATTTCTATTAGTAGAGCTTGCTCCTTGCATGTTTCCATAGCATTCATTATTAGAGCCACAGTAATCAACTCAGCACTGGTGAAAATTGGCCGTCCTTAAAACACCCAATATGTTTGTATAATGACAAAATGAGCAAGAATTAACAAATCCATGAACTCAGAACACAAACAATGGTTATCAGACAATTTCCTCCAACTTCTACAGTTACAGTTGGAAGTTTGGCATTACTCAAATCTTGCATCTGTCACTTCTTTAAAATGTAATGATAATTGAATAAGATGCACCTTCTATTCTAACCAATAATTTGCAACCTCAACCAATTCTGTGCTCTTATAGCACGCTGAGATCTTTGGCAAAGGGTAGCACAACCCAACTGATCACCTCAAAGCAAGTAATAGAAAGAAGATAAGTGATGGGACATTTTTTGTGATCAAGGAAGACGAGGCACGTGTTCTCAACATATTAGTTGCGGAGTGTTATTTGGACGACACGTGTTTTCGGCACATCAAAATTTCCTGCAAGTGACACGTCATTTCGGCACTAAAGGTACCTCAGAGTCCACTAAAGGTACCTCGGAACCCTCCATTAAAGGTATCTCGGAGTCCAAGACATGTTGTCCTCGGAGTCGACGACATATTGTCTGCGGAGTACTCTCCACTTGACACATCATCTCGGCGTTAAGGCACCTCGGAGTTTTCATCACGTACCACGTATCCTCGGCTTCAAAGGTTACTGATTGACAATTGGTCACTTTTAAAACTAGACTAGGGATTATGAGGGTACTCTTCCCAACAATATTAGAATGGAAGAATCAACAAAACACTCCACCAAGAGGAGCTAGACATGTGGTATGAAATACAGTTGAATGGACAAAAATTCTTGCTCATTTTGTATAATGACAAAATGAGCAAGAATTAACAAATCCATGAACTCAGAACACAAACAATGATTATCAGACAATTTCCTCCAACTTCTACAGTTACAGTTGGAAGTTTGGCATTACTCAAATCTTGCATCTGTCACTTCTTTAAAATGTAATGATAATTGAATAAGATGCACCTTCTATTCTAACCAATAATTTGCAACCTCAACCAGTTCTGTGCTCTTGTAGCACGCTGAGATCTTTGGCAAAGGGTAGCACAACCCAACTGATCACCTCAAAGCAAGTAATAGAAAGAAGATAAGTGATGGGACATTTTTTGTGATCAAGAGAGACGAGGCACGTGTTCTCAACATATTAGTTGCGGAGTGTTATTTGGACGACACGTGTTTTCGGCACATCAAAGCTTCCTGCAAGTGACACGTCATTTCGGCACTAAAGGTACCTCAGAGTCTATTAAAGGAACCTCGGAGCCCTCCATTAAAGGTATCTCGGAGTCCAAGACATGTTGTCCTCAGAGTCGACGACATATTGTCTGCAAAGTACTCTCCACTTGACACGTCATCTCGGCGTTAAGGCATCTCGGAGTTTTCATCACGTACCACGTATCCTCGGCTTCAAAGGTTACTAATTGACAATTGATCACTTTTAAAACTAGACTAGGGATTATGAGGGTACTCTTCCCAACAATATTAGAATGGAAGAATCAACAAAACACTCCACCAAGAGGAGCTAGACATGTGGTATGAAATACATGTGAATGGACAAAAATGCCCCTGCTGACATGCAGCTATTTCAGGCAAGCATTTAATAAACTCAGTTGATGGGACATCCATGATGGCTCTAGAAGCCTAGAGGAAAGAGCATTAAATACTCCAGACCTGAGCATTTAATAACAGGGCTTCTCCCATGCAAAGTAGGAGGCGCACTGCCCCCATGTCTAAGTACTACCTATTGCCTAGGCCATCATTAATGATGGATCTTTGGAGGTATAAATAGTTTTCAAAAATACTTTGCAAAAGTACGTAAAATCATTTCTCAAGAACCACAAATAGTACTTTCTTCTTCCCCTCTCTCAAAGAACTGACTTGATCGTTATAAAGAATACGTTAAAAAACACTCTAGCACCTTTCTAACCCTTCTTTTGAGTGCCAGGATATGTCGAAAAATACTCCAGCACGCCGGAATCGATCGAATAGCCTGAATGCCAACTCATCACCACTCCTTAGGCCACTTGTGACCATTTCTTTACCACGGAATCGTCGACTTTTCAAGTAAACACGAGTTCACTAAGAGAGAGAGTTGTTTTTGTTTATTTATTGTGCAAAAAAAACGCCCGCACAACAAGATACTTCAGGAAATGGGCTTCTAACTCCAAATACTTTTCTCGCATAATAACATCTCTCAAAGATTTTCTAACCTATATTCTTTTTGTTGATTGTATTGACATTAAATCTAATAAAATTCTATCTCACAATTATAACAAGTATTACATTTTGTTCAAATTAATTATACTATTTATTAAAAGAACATATTAACAAAACATGAATACAAAAAATATAACAAATATTTTCGAATGTCAAAAGACAATAATATAATATAATGATTAAAATCTTAAAGCTAATTTTTAAAATTAATAGGGCTTTATTTATATTTTCACTTTAAAATCCATTTTTGTGTTGGGCCACCCCTGGCTAGGACAAACATGATCATGAAGATTGTACCATACAGCAGCAACAGATTCACCATGAATAATACTAGGAGCAACGACTATTAGCTGGTTTTGAGAAAGTACAATCCACAAATCCTAATTTGTTTTTAGTAGAGGGGGATATTGTCATGGCTAGGACAAACATGATCATGAACATTGTACCATACAGCAGCAACAGATTCACCATGAATAATACTAGGAGCAACAACTATTAGCAGGTTTTGAGATAGTACCATCCGCAAATCCTAATTTGTTTTTAGTAGAGGGGGGCATTGTCATGGTGCGACACCATGTGATATAATTGTCATTTCCAAGAATAACTCCAGCCCTCACTCTTTTTTGTACCCAAATTTAAATTTAGGTACAAATGATCTAAAATGTTTTCAAGTATCTTCAATTATGACTCAAATTTAAATTAACATTTGAATAAAAATTTTAATTTGATACAAAAAATTCTAATGGACTAACTCAAATTTAAATGAGAGTAAACCCAAATTTAAAAGAGAGTAAAGATGATTATTAGATTTTTAAAAGAATGTGAAATCTCACCATTCAAGATTTGGATCATAATTTGAGTCTTCCTTAATTTGAGTAAAAAAGATGAGTCTCCCTTGATTTGGTATACGTTTGAGTCAAAGATTGTACCACAAGGGAAAGTCAAACTAAAAGAGAAGAATAAAAAAAAATTAGAAGCGTTAGTAGTGATCTGATACCATATAAAGAATGGCTGAAAACTTGCTTGCCTTATTGCATTACTGGACGACAACTTATATACTGGAGAGATGGTCGGGAGAGGACTTGGACTTAGTTCAATGTCATAATATCAAATAACACCACACACATGGTAATGGTACAACTTAAAATCTCATTTGATAATATACAAAATCAATTCTAATTGGTATTAGGATCATTTACTTTTTGTTTCAGATTTGATTGTATATAATGATATTAGTTATTACTGGTGTCTAAATGAACAAAGTAATTAAAAAAAAAGATCAACAATAAACATATTTGTATTCATACTTAAAATTAAATTAAAAACATAAAGAAGAAAAAAAAAATTTAAGCACCGGTTGTAGTGACGTTGAAAGGTGATAGTGATGGTTGGCGACAATGGTGGTGATGGGAGACAGTGATGGTTGTGGTGGGTAGCGATGACCGTGATAGCAATGGATGGTAATAGTGATGGTGGTGGTGAATTTTGGGCGACGATGATAGTGGTGGTAGGCGATAATAGTGGGTGGTGATAGGCAACAATATGATGGTGGTGGGTGCTAATAGTAGGCGACTATGGTAGTTGGACAATGGTGGTAGTGATAATAATTATAAAAATGAGATGATGACGATAGTGGGTGGTGGTGATGGACAATGGTGGTAACAATTGTCGGTGCTGTGGCAGTAGGGGTGGAGGTGAGGTAGTGGCAGCGGTGGTGGTGGGATGGCAGCAGCAACGATGGTGGTGGTGGGAACAGTAGCGGTGGTGGTAGGTTAGCAGTAGCAGTGTTGGTGGCGGTGATGACAGTGGTGGTAGGGTGGTGACGGTGGTGGTAGTAGGGCGGTAACGGTGATGGTGGGAGGGTGGGTGTGGTGGGGTTATGACAGAGGTGGTGGTGGGGTGGCGACAGGAATGGTGGTGGGGGTGACAGTGGGCAGTGATGGTGGTGATAGTGGTCATTGTGAGGATAGTTGTGGTGATGGAGTGACGATGGTGGCAGTAGCAATGGTGGTGGTAGTAGGGCGTTAGCGATAATGGTGGGAGGGTGGGTGTGGTGGTTGGGGTGGGGTGATGGTAGTTATTATGACAAAGGTGGTGGTGGGGTGGCGGCGGCAATGGTGGTGGTGGTGGTGAGGGTGACAGTGGGTGGTGATGGTGGAATAGACTCACGCTATTCCACCGTACGGATATAGACTCACGTTATATCCGTATTTTAAATATAAATTTTTTTGATTCTACCTAATATCTTGTTTGAATATCCGATCCAAGCGTATGATTGATTGTAGTAGAATAGCCTCACGCTTACCCGAAACTTGAATCAGACATGGTATATAATTAAATAAGATACGATAAAATAGTAGATTGAATCAGAATGAATTATATTGATATTAATCATTCAATTCCATTCTTTATTATATGCTCTAAAAAATGAGATTGGACAGTGTCAACAATACCGGCCGGAAACCATCCATCCATCAATTATAACTTATGAAATGAGATTAATAATTCTAATAAATTCAAAATGTGGTAGTTATACACAGTTACTAGAATAGAGAGATTTACTTTTGATCATATAGTAAATTATAATTGATCAGTGATATTATATGAAAAATAAGAAAGTAAAATCATTGTTACATTCAATATAAACTATTACAGTAGTAGAAGTTCGAGTATCGTGACATTTTTAGTGGAGAGAGAAATGGACTTGAACATAATCTGCCATACATGGTATAGTAAAATTACACAATAATATCCTTGTTTTCACATATTTTCTCATTCTTTACACACACATTTGAAGGCGAGACATGTGAACAGATTTTTCAAAAATACAATACTATCCCCATCATTTTTACAAAAAATCATACATGTGAAACTAAAAAGAAAAAAACACGGTATTGTGCACGAGATTCCTGCTACTAATATGGTTAACGAACATAGAGAAAGACTTTTTTTATATATAATCAAACCTTTGACGTCTAGATCACGTGGGGAACAAAAGACTACCAATAATATACAAGGTTCTTGTTTTGAAAAATAACAATAACGTAGTGAAAACCATGCACAGCAAACGTTTAGCTAACCACGTCTCAAAGATTATCATATAAGCACTGATAATCATAGTCATAGTCATAGAGACAGACGTCACAGACCTCCTGCTGAATTAATGGAGTGAAACTATCATAGAAAGGCAACGGCTCCATCTCTGAAAACCATGGCTCTGTATCACTGTAATGTGGAAGTTCCATCTGAATATGGGACTCCATTGCCGAAGAGGTTTCTGAAGCATTGAATGATCTCTGTATGCTCTGTCCAGACGAACTTTCTAAGTGGGTGAAAGGGTTTGGTATGCTTATTTCTAATGAATGAAAGGAACTTTCTTGGTACCCATGATCTTCAATGTTGAAGAATGGGTTTTCTTGTGCTGGTGATGATGTAGAAGCCGAAGGAGGTGGGGATGAGAGAGAAAGGGGGTTTCCATTGCCAGTAAGCTCTTGAACAAGTGTTTTGAAGCTTGAAGAGTCTGCGATGTAGACTTTGGGCTTCAAGACCTTTACGAGGCTGTTTAGCTCTTTGTTGTTGCTGTTGTTGTCATTCTTAGATATTCTCAGGGAAGATTGACTTACTTTCTTCCCCATTTTCAGACTTGGAGTCTTTTCCCTTGGAATTGACTCCTATTACTATTTCTTCTTTCTTGTAACGGAGGATCCCAAGAGATATTTGAAAAGAAGATATGGTGGAGTTGATATGGTTGAAGGTTGAAGAAGGGGTGGAGACTGGAGATACACATACAATACAAGCCAGAAGATAATCAGATGCTGAAAATGATGTTCATCCGGCACTAAGGTATGAAAATAGGAGTCCTTATCTACCCACCCACCCACCTAACAATCTCTCTCTCTCTCTCTCTCTCTCCGGGTCACTTTAGGTCATGAGCCCATCATGGAAATGCTAAGATTTGTAGCTATGTGGGTGTTGGGCAATTGTTTAGGCAGTTAAACATAGATGTGGGTAATTAATATTGATTAGTGATGTGATTTAGAGGAACAGTGAAGGCACGCAGCTAAAGCCTAAAAGTAAATACATAGCTAATACTTCATCTTCTTCTGCTTCCACTTATATCCATTGCAAGGAATTTTCAAATATCCTCTTCTCTTTCCATCTTCCTTCCTCTTCCTTTTTTTTTTTTTTACACCGTTTGAAAAGTTAGATAAAAAATTATTAAAAAAAATAGGATGATAGAAGAATTATAAAGAGTAAGGGTAGATGATCAATAAACACTTGTATTTATGCAATCTATGGCAGCGTCTTTAATTAGAATGGATAGATGATGAATATGTGATAGATCACCCAGATTCCAAAACATTCCTATTTGCTATGGTTTGCTTAAACTACATTAAATCTCAATCTCCAGGTGAATAGCCTCAAGTCCATGATTCTAATATGCATACATAATGAGATATAGGGATGTCAATCTGTCTCATCCTTATTCCAGATCATGCTATTTTGATTTTGTATTGTGTTTGTATGTGTTCGTGTGGATAAAAAAATTATTTAATTATTAAATAATTTATACAATTTTAAAATAAAAGTAAAAGATAAAAAATCATATATTTTCTTCTACCTGCAAAAAAAAATTAAGAAGAATTACATTCAGACCCTTTTAAGTTTATCACTTAATTACTCAGATATCCTAATATTTAAAATATTACACACAAACCTCTAAAATTTATACACGCATAACACTTAGACATTTGCCGTTAATGTCCATTAATATATCCGTGAATAAATTACATTCAGACCCCTTAAAATTTGTTGACATGTAATACTTAGGCCCCACAAGTTTAAAATATTATACTTAGACTAAAAATACTCTAATCAAAGTTAGAATATTAAGTATTTTAAATTTTACAACAAAAATTCATGTTTTATTATGTCATTTATTAAAGTAAAATTAAAAATAAAAATTTATCTTTTTCTTAAAAAACTATAATCAGTATACAATTATACTATCTATTACAATTTAATTTGGTCGTTTAAATAACCAAAATAAACTACAAAATTATCCTAATTAAAGTTAACATATATTTTGTCAATTACAATTGGATTCTTTATTTGATTTTTTTAGTTTTATCCCAATAAATATTATAATTGTATACTAATTATAATTTTTTAGAAAAAAATTGACTTTTTATTTTTGATTTTATTTCAATAAATGATACAATAAAACATGAATTTAGGTTTTAAATTTTAAATATTTTATCTTTGATTAAAATATTTTTGGTCTAAATATAACATTTTAAATTACAGCGGCTCAAGTATTATACGTCTACAAATTTTAATGAGTATTTGTGTAATTTATTAATGAATATGTTAACGACATTTGATGACATGGGTCTAAATGTTACGCGTGTATAAACTTGAAGGAGTCTGTGTGTAATATTTTAAATATCAAGAAATCTGATTAAATGACAAATCTTATAGGATTTAAACGTAATTCTTTCAAAAAATTATTGTGTTTAAAGCTACTATCTACGGCACTTCAAAGTATTTTTTTTCAAAAAAAAAAAAAAACTCAAATATACAAATATTTGTCTATCGATACGACAGGCTGAAGGTACTATAAAACGTGGATTTCATCAATATAAAAAACAAAAAATAAAAATGCATAGCCATTACATCACAGCAGGTTCCCACGCCTGACTTCCACGTCACATCAGAATCTGTAATTTGGGCTCTGGTTGTCGTGCATATTGATAGTGATTTTTGGAATTATTCACAGACCAGACTAGACGGGTGCAACATTAGGTTTTTTTTTTTCTTTTTTATAATTAAAATAAGGGAACAAGGTAAGAAAGAGCGTCCAAAGACCATTTCATTAGATCTTTACCGGTGAAATCATAAGACTTTTAATTACGTCTAGAATAATTTTTGGAACCAGTCCTAATTAGGCTAGTATAACAGTCAACCATTGAATCATAACGGAGACTTCAAGAGTTAAACTCTCAATCTCTGATCTCATTACAGGAACTCCAGAACTCGAACATTTTTTTAGTATCATATTTTTGACGTCTGGTTAAAAGAAATCAAGAAGAATGAAAATAAAATTAATATTACGCCCCTATCAAGTGGAAAGATTCATGAATTGCCAGATCAAAGGTATTCACAAGTTGTTGATGGAAGAAAATTACAGATTAAATATATTTGTTGATTGTGGTCAAAAGATTAAAATATAAGTTATTAAATTCATACGATTTAGACCGTTATTATGTTTCTATGTTATTTTTACTATAGAGATATTTTTATTTGTGTCAATTTTGGTTGTGTTTACACTAGAAATATTTAAAAATTGAGAAAGACGTGTGATAAAAATTAATGGCCAAAATTGAGTCAAAGAAAGACCGAGGGATAAGATGGATATGAAAAAAGATCTCAAAAAATAAAATACTATGTTAAACGAGACATTGTGGAGCCATTAGTTACAAAAAATATCGACACTCATCCATAATCGCGGTAGTAAGAGGTCATGATCACCCATTTAATGGCCGAAAAAGATAGCTCTAATGATTAGAAGTCAATAATTATAAATACAGAGGATTAGGCACCGGAGAAGGGATTTCCGATCAATACTATTGAAAACAATATACCATAGTCTTTCTTTGAATCGTTTAGTTTGTTCCCATTTATTTTACTTTGCAATTCAGTCATCAATTCGATAACATCTTTCAGTTTAAATTCAAGCGGAGTAATTTGTACAATAATTCTGTCTTGTTATTTATATTATTGTTTGCTCCAATTCCATTTCATTTTTTTTTTTACTTTTCAATTTGTTAGGGAAAAAAAAAACTAGAGATACTCTTACGGCTCGTTTCAATCATCTATACAGTCACTCAGATTATAATATTTTGAGTTTGTTGTTCCGGAAAGGAGAAAAACGAAGCGAAACTTCCCTCACGATTATACATGTGGAACACACGACACTACCTAGAGGGAGAGGGAGTTAATAGATTTTTTAATTTCAAGCACAATCGATTACAAATTAAAACATAATATACTACAAGTAGGACTAAATTTCCTACTTGAACCAGGAATGGGTTCTTAATTGGTGCCTAAAAATATATCGTAAACCATTGAATTCGAATACATAGTGAAAAATAGTCTCCCCGTAGGTAAAATTTCTACTAAATCACATAATTCTTATGCTCTTGTTCTTGATTATTTTTATTTTTGATCGTTCACTGCATTACACGTTGACAAGAGAGGGAACGTTGAATAGAGAAAACTGGGGGCTTGTCATTGAGCTAAATGGTAAGGGCAATCCAGTCGTAAAGTTAAAGGGTCGGGTGCAAGAGACTTCCGGTGGAGTGCGAGTATAAACTATTTCAGAAATGAAATGACCATGGACAAGCATGAAAATTCAAGATTTATGTAACTGACCTAAAACTTTGGCATAAGCTTGTTGTTGGAGTCCATTCAAAGTTTCTGTCCAACCCAGGCCAGCCCACGACCCCCATTGCTTGGAATCCAACATAAACTGACGTTAACATCAGTGAACCACCTTTGTGTTACCACTTACCAGGCTAATCCCATATGGACTTTGGCAGCATCCATTCTCAACTGCATACCAACATGCTGCAGAAATTTAAGTCAGGAAAGCAACATGGCTCCAATCCAGACACTCCACCCCCATCATGATAAGTTCTAAAAAGCAGGAAACATCACGTTGGACAAAATGGTGGCGACCATAATTTGATATCAACTTCAACCAAATATCCCAAACCACAAGCCCACAATTGATCAAGCCATCAGTTCTTAGCTACTGGATTCCATTTTGATACAGCCTGTGTAAAGAGATCTTGAATCCCAAATCGAATGATTATATATTTGATGGGTCACTCCATTCGTTGCCGGTTGGCTTTGAGTTGAATGCTCTAACATGGTATCTGACTTGGATACTCTAACAAGGTATAAGAGCTTGGTCTTGAATGGTCAGTGAATCAAGTCTCTTGCCCATTTGAATTTTTCAGTATACATGGTTGATTGTTTGTTTTTTAGCTTTACGTGCAAGTCCCGGTCCCACGTGAGTTAGGATGTAAAGACATCTTGTATTTCATATCAAACAATTAAGACCACCCGAAATTGGTTTTTATATTTGAAGGGCTACTACACTCACCGTCTATTGGATGCTTTAACTTTTTACAAATATGCACCCAATTCACATTATGACCATTCATCAGATTCAGAAATCAGGCCTACCTGCGATCCAAAACAAGGCCGATAACCAGCTTCCTTCATATTTATATCCAATTCCTTCAACATTTCACATAACTCATCATACTTAGGGTGCTTTCTATCTTTGGAAACAAAGCAGTTCATGTGGCCAGCTATATCAATCCAACTGCAGCCAACCTCCTTTGCCAAACCCTTTTCCCGCATCTCTTTTCTCACTCTGTTAACATTATCCCAGTTTCCTTCCTCTGCATATATATTTGACAGCAATACATGATAACCTGCCATGCTATCTCCCCAATCCATTTCCAGCATCTTGTCCGCAACAATTTTTCCCAATTCAAACTCTCCATGAATTCTGCAAGCTGCAAGAAGTGATCCCCAAATTCCCAACACATTACCCCGGTGACCCAAGTCTCTAACAAACTCATAAGCTTCAACCAACCTCCCAGCTCTCCCTAGCATGTCCACAACACAACAGTAGTGCTCAGATAAGAGGCGAATACCATATTTTTCCTCCATTGACTCATATACTTGAAGGCCTTCGTCAACCAACCCAGTGCAACTGCATGCTGCCAAGACTGCTACAAAGGTAATGGCGTCAGGTTTAATGCCAAATTCCCCCATTGAGTAAAAGAGCATAAGAGCTTTCTCCCCATCCCATGTTGACCATATCCTAATATCATGTTAGTGTATGCTACAGAACTTTTCTCAAGGGAACTAGCAAACACACTTTCAGAGTAAGCAAGTGCACCCAATTTGGAGTACATGTCCACTAGAGCAGAGCCCACAAAGACATTTTGGTCCAAATTATTCCGAATGGCAAAACCATGAAGTTGCTTACCAAGAGCCATACATCCCATCTGATTGCAAGCAGGTAATATAGATGCTAAGGTCACGGCATTGGGTGTCATATTTTCCTCAATCATCTGCCTGAAGATGATGAAAGCCTGCTCAATCAGCCCATTTTGTGTGTTCCCAGCTATCATAGCATTCCATGTTGCTTGATCTCTGTTATTTGTGCAGTTTATTTCAAACAGTGTTTGTGCAGCTTTAATCAGTCCACATTTAGCGTACATGTCTATGAGATAACATTCCATCCCCTCTAATTGGATACTATTCCTAAGAAGATAAGCATGGGCCTGTTTTCCAATATCCTTGTTTCTGAGGTTTGATGCTGCCGAAAGTAAAGAAGTCAAAGATACAGAATCAATCGCGAACCCTTGCTTCTGCATCTCGTACACTAGCATCAACCCTTCGTCATCAAACCCATTCTGCACTAAAGCCGATACCATAGTGTTCCAAGAAACAACATCCCTTTCCTGCATTCCACTGAAAACTTTGAATGATTTGTCTATACAATTACACCTCGAATACATGGCAATGATCGCATTTACCACAATGATGTTTAACACAAACGAACCCTTAATTATATAAGCATGTAGCACTTGAGCAAAGTCTAGCTGCTGCAGCTGTGAGGCTGCAGTTAGAACTGAAAGATAAGTCACATCATCAAGAAGTACATCATCTTGGGATTCCAGAGCTTCAAGGAAAAGATCAAGTGCTTCAATTGGACGATTGTTCTGAACATATGCGCCAATCATAGTATTCCAAACCTCTGTATTTCTCTCCAAACTGTGGTCAAAAACCTTCCTGGCAAGATCAAGACAAGCAAGCTCGGCATACATGAAAATAGAAGAACTCACTGCAAACAAATCATCAACATAATCACTGCCCATTTTGATAAGCAACCCATACAGTATATTGGCAATATCTATATCCCCTGACCCCGAAGCACCCGGGAAAACATTGACAAAACTAATAACAGTCGGTTTTATACCCAACTTAACCATCATCATAAAATGCCTAATTGCTTCAACAAATCTATGAGTTTTGGTGTACCACGAAATCATAGTATTCCAAGCAACCACATTTCGTCTATGCATTGTATGAAATATTTTCTGCACTAAATCATGTCTAGTAATATCCAATTCACTGTCTACCGAGCTCAGACAAGTAGTGTACATGTTCAGGAGAGAATTGCAAACAATTCTACTGGGATACAAATGGGAGCGTAGAATGTGGCAATGGACAGCTTTACCAATTTTAAGCTGCTTCGTTTCAGCACAAGCTTTGAGAGCAGCAGAGTAAGTATAGTAATCACATTTGGTATCAGGAGAGGACGATTTCATACGGGCGTAAACAGAAATGGCTTCCCCGGGCATGCTGTTACAGACAAACCCAATGATGATAGTGTTCCAAAGAACTGTAGTTGGGCGCGGAATTGTATCGAACAGTTGCCGGGCAAGATGGGGCTGGCCTTGTTGGCACAACTGGCTGAGACGGTATCGAATTGTTCGGACTTTAGGGGGTGAATTGGAAGAGGTATGGTGATTGGAATCTTCATAGCCCCATTGTTGAGTTTGGGAAGGTGAATTTGGTATTGATAGAAGTTGGCTGTGTTGGTGAGTGCGACTCTGAGTGGGAAGAGAGGTAGTTGAACTTGAGAGTGGTAGAGGAAGGATAGGAGGGAGAGCAGAGGATGACATTGTGGAGCGCGTTTGTACCGACTTCTCTCTGCTTCTCTTTTTCAGAATTGTGATATCATTTGAATGGAAGTCATAGAATAAAAAGAGTCTAGCAGTGATGCAGAAACAATAACAACAACACACCACCGAGTGGGGTGGTCAGTGGGCTACCACCAGAACTTCTCGCCTCTTCTAGGGACATATTTACTGCATACAAAACGTTGCCGTTTTGACCAAACTTTGTTGTGCTTAGCAAAAGCAGACAGTCCACGCCCCTACGCCACCGATCTCAAAGTGTTGTACTGAGAAGAGTGAAAGAGAAAGAGAAAGAACAAGAGCAAGAAGAAAATGGAGATGATGCAACAGCTTCTGAGCATGGGTTTCTCCGACGACTTGGCTGCTCAAGCTCTAGCTGCCACCGGCGGAAAATCCACCGTCAAAGCCACCGAATGGATCCTCTCCCACACCCACAAACCTTCCGATTCGAATACCAATCACAACCCAAACACAAACACAAACACAAACCCAAACCCAAACCCAAACCCTAGCCCTACTTCCCCTTCTACCTCTCCATTTCAGCCCAAAATCAATCGCTTCTTTCACTTCCAATCCAAACCAGCCACAGTCACCACCACCGCAAACAAAGCTCAATCCAACAAACAAAAATTAACACAGCACCGCCATGAACCAGAAGCAGAAGAAGCAGACGAACAACCACAATCGCAATCACAATCAGAATTTCGCCTAAAAAAGCGTCTCAAACGAGAAGAACCATTCATAGAATCATCGAGAAGAAATTTTGGGTCTTTTGTTCCTTCTGAGCCGTTGGCGGAGCGAATGCGCCCTCGGACCATCGATGAGGTGGTGGGACAGGAACATCTTCTCGCTGGAAACTCCTTCCTTCGCTCTGCCATCGACTGCAATCGCCTCCCTTCTATGATTTTCTGGGGACCGCCCGGCACGGGTAAGACTTCAATCGCCAGGGCCATTGTCAATTCCTCCTCACTTTCATCTTCTAATCGGTTTGTTTCGTTGTCGGCGGTGAATTCTGGGGTGAAGGATATTAGGGATGCCGTGGAGGACGCTAAAAGATTGAAATCTAAGAACATGAGGACAATTCTGTTTGTGGATGAGGTTCATAGGTTTAACAAGTCTCAGCAAGACTCGTTCTTGCCTGTAATAGAGGATGGAAGCGTGGTCTTCATTGGCGCCACCACTGAAAACCCATCATTCCATTTGATAACGCCATTGTTGTCTCGTTGCAGAGTTCTAACTCTTGCTCCATTGAAACCCCACCATGTTGCTTTGCTCCTCAGGCGCGCTGTTGGCGATTTCGAGAAGGGATTGGGAAGGAGCATAGCTCCAGCAGCAGGGGCACACGTGGGTATTGATGTGAAGGATGAGGCCATTGAGTTTTTGTCTGCTCAATGTGATGGTGATGCCAGGACTGCATTGAATGCCCTGGAAGTTTCGGCTACAAATGCAGTAGTCCGAGCCCGGGTATTACCCCTATCGAGCAATCCGAACTCCACAGCAATGGAGAAAATGTTGGAAATGTGATGGGGTCATTTGTGGCCACGGTCACTCTCGATGACGCCAAGGAAGCCCTGCAATGCAAGCACATTGCCTCTGACAAAGCAGGGGAAGAACATTACAATCTCATCAGTGCGCTGCACAAGTCCATGAGGGGAAGCGATGCTGATGCTGCAATTTATTGGCTGGCAAGGATGTTGGAAGGAGGCCAAGAGCCTCTCTACATCGCCCGCAGGCTCATCAGATTTGCTAGTGAAGATGTGGGATTGGCCGACCCGTCCGCTCTCACTCAGGCTGTTGCCTGCTACCAAGCTTGTCATTTTCTAGGCATGCCAGAATGCAATGTGAACCTGGCTCAATGTGTTGCTTATCTGTCTTTGGCTCCTAAATCGGTTTCGGTTTATAGAGCACTGGAGGATGCACAGAAGGTGGTGAGGGAATCAGTTGGACAGAATGAAGGAGTGCCTCTTCATCTGAGGAATGCACCAACTAAGCTGATGAGGGAACTTGGGTATGGGAAGGGATATATCTATCCGCCTGACAATCCTTCCTCATCATCACAGACCTATTTCCCTCCTTCTCTTCAGGGTTGTAAGTTCCTGTCCTGGTCAAAAAGAACTGCAACTGATCCATGAGGGTTATCTGGTGAAGGTTAAATGGTTTTTGTAGTTTGTTGTATCGGTTATGCAACTGATCAATGAGGAGTATCTGGTGACAGTCAAAGGGTTTTTGTAAATCGTATTACTACTTATATCGGTTGGGAGCCCTTTCCTACCTTTTGATCTATATCAAAACTAACTGACCTCTGTTACCTTGCTGGTTAGATAATTCTATGAAAGAGTCATAGCAGGTAATATTCAATCGAGATATCAAATGAAAGTAGTTATCAAGAAGGACAAAATCACACAGAGATGTCTCTATGTGGAGCAAAATATTCTTCTGATAGATGGAATTAACATAGGGACCTGATAAGGCATGACAGTACTATAGGGTCTGTGACTGTCTATTAGAAAAAAATACTTTCGAGAAACGACGAGCACAACCGAAGTGGGTATACATGGAAATTTATTTACGCATCTATATGCTTGGATTGGAACGGGAAGTTCCAGAACCAGGCCTTTGTCGGACTTTCTTCCCTTTGCCTATAGGAAGAAGCTTGGCTTCGCTATCGCTCATGAATTAGTATAGTGCCGTGATGGAGGGAGGGGTCAAATGTGGAATGATGACACAACTTGGGGTGAAGCATTAAATGATAATTGATAGTGGTAACAACGAAAATATTGTGTACCAAGAAGTAGTTGACAAATTGCAGTTATGAACTAAGAAACTCCCTTCTCCTTGTACCATTGGTTAAATTAACAACGTCGGAGAAACTAAGGTAGTAAAATAGTGGTGTACATCAGACCAAGGTAATAAAAAGTACTGCCACTGATCCATGTGTCGGAGAAACCATTATTTTGTTATTCTTCTACGTTGCCCTTGTCCTTGCCCTTGCTCTTGTTACATATACACAGACCCACTTTTATATATAGCAGACATCATATCTAACAAGGAAACCGAGAATTGCCCTGGAACTGGAACTGGAACTAAAACTGGAATAACGGTGTAAGGCCAGCCAGCCTCAGCATCGTCACTACGAGTGGGCTAACTGCAAAAAAAAACCGTGAACCTTATTAATAGTTGTGCACATATGTTGTCAAAGAGGTTTTTAATGTTTCTTTTCTTTGGCACTATGGATTTAATACATAGTGAAAAACAACCACCCCATGAAAGTAGGTAGAATTTTTTTCAAACCACTTAAAACTTATGTTGATTTTCTTGATTGTTCACCGTAGTGCACGTTTATAACAAATTCATGTATTAAGATTAGCAACTCAACATAGACATCGATTTGAGCACATGAAGAGCAAAATAGCTGCCATAATTTCGTTTACTCTTTGGACCGTGACATGCAAGACTATAAGAATACTGATGAGCCCGAATTTAACTGGGTTAGGCCCAATAAAAATAACTTAAGATGAGGGCCAAGCTAGTACCAAGAAGGACCAAGCACCCTAAGGAACCAAGAGCCCAACGCCCATGGGCTGGCTCCCTGGCTCTCCTTCGTCCTCCGCTTTCTCCTCCTCGGTCTTCCTCAACATCGTTGGAATTACTTCGACTCAAGTCCAACTCACTCCAATTCAAGTCCAAGCCTAGGATCAGGTTCAACCCAGCCAATATCTTTCTTCGAAGGAATAGGAACACGAGGGAGAGAATATCGGAATATGCACGGAGATTTAATCTTATTTTGATTGTACTTACCAAAATAGTATAAGTTCTCTCCTTCACGTCACCGTCTCACTATTTTACTAAACCTATTAATGTAAGCTCTCTCCATAAAGAAAGGCATCTTAGCATGACCTTTGAGACCTCTCTACACACCAAGTCTCTCTCTCTCCCAGAGCACTGTAATTCTCCCCGAGTACACTTTTTTGGTGAATTTTTTTCATCAATAAAGATCTCTGGCCACCAATGTCGTTCCCGAGAGTGGAATAAGTCACCCGAATTGAACCACTATAAATCTTAGTGCTAATTCCTTATTTACAATTTTGTCATTAATTGTTTATTCACTGCTCATTAATTGTGTCTCTTGATATATTCAACTATTGATCTTGTGCAATATCAATTTGTACATCATCAAACACCATCAACTGATCCCAATTTTTTTTTATTTTTTTTTTGTATGAGTTATCACAGTTTGCGTTGGTGGAATGTGATGAATATGTAGTTCTCTGTAGAGTTGATGTGGAAGCATGACCCACTCAACAGTAGAGCCAAAAAAGAATTGGCTTTATGCCTCACATATAAAAAATGTCCCAAGTGTTAGATTTCAATACTGAAATATAGATGAAAGATTAAAATTTATTATAATTTAGCTTAATAAAAATATTTCTAAAAGATAAAGTCAACGAAATAAATTTTAAAATTTAGGTTCAAAATTGCAGTCCACCTCACGTATACACGTTTATTAAAGATGAACAAAGGTTAACATTTTTGAGCTGATCCCCCTGACCTGATTCCCATACTGGTTTGAGGGGTAACCCCTCTTGACCGAGTAGAGGCACTTTTATTCGTATTGGTGTGATCCCTCCCTCCGTGATGACAGGGAGCTTGTAACTCGAGACTCCTTTGGTGGGGTCCTTTCTCTTTCTGTCGAGTGTTCACCATGGTCACTGTTCTTTATAGAGAAAAAACTAGGAAAACTAGTCGTTTCCCACAGACGGCGCCAGATTGTGCGTGCAAGATCCTGCACAATATAAAAAACGAGAACAGATCTCTCCCTTGGTGAACTTCGAGTGAGCCAGTTGAGTGACCAACCACGCTGCTTGGAACAGCCTGCGAGGTCCGGTGGTAACCTGGAACGGCAACGGGAGACCCTAGGGGAGCGGAAGAACGATCCAGTAAGGCTGGAAGAGGTTCCTGGAACAAAGAAGAACAAGTTAGAAGGGCGCCGAAGTGTTTTCCGGCGTATCGCCTCCGACGATCTAGTCAGTCTTTTAGAAAGAGAGAGGAAGGAGAAAACACTGAGTGTGTAAAGAGTTTTTTGTTGCATACCCATCTTGCCTTTTGCAAAGAGTATTTATACCTCAAAAGCTCATGATTGCTGTCAGTGTAGTCAGTAGGTGATCATTAGGTACAGACAGTGTGCGCACTAATTCTAATGAGGAATGTCTTCTCTTCTTAACTGCTCGGGGTCCCGAGCAATCAATGTTGGGTCATCGGGATGCCGACGGTACAATGTATTCCTCTCGAGGAGGATGCAATAAATGCTCTGTATTAGGAGCATTTATTGCCTTTCATTTCCGAGCCTTACCGCATTGAATGCGGTCTCATCAAGGAAATGGTGTAATTAATCGTTTGCTTTCCCAAGTCGCGTGTCAGCAACGGCATGCGATTTCTCTGTCTTCGATGTGATATCATACGCCACGCGTCCATCCCCTATTGGCTGTGACCCCTGCATTCCAGTACGTTCTGACACTAATTGTGTAAGACGAGGTTATGATGAATAGCCTAGGCTAATGACCTGTACATCAATAGCTTATCCTAGAGTAGAGGAGGCGTCCAGGACGGGGTACACCTCGGCACCGAGGAAAGGCTCATCTCGGAACCGAGAGAGGGATACCGACCGAGGTACCATATCAGACTGAGGCCACGTGTTGGTTGTAAAACGTACTGAATGCCATGATCCTATATGACGAGTACCTCGGGGGTGAGGACCTTTATGCGCCGATGGTGCTTGATCTTATCAACAGTGTTTTAGTAATACCGAGGACACGTGTCTTCATCATAGAGTATTTCAGAAAAGTCCCATCAACTGCCCCCCAGTCTTCGATCTTCTGACACCGAGGGCATGCGTCGTAAGGAGACGAAGGGTTTCCCAACCACCACAACTGCTTCATCATTGCCTCGAGCCGCTTTCCCCGCCTAGGGATGTCGTTTGCATTAAATGTGCCGTTTTGTTTTTCGCGCCCAATGATGAAATTGCCACTATATAAATGGGGCTCCCCTTCCGTTTTCTTGTTTCGCCATTTCGAACTTCCTTAAGAGAGCCTTTTCTTGAATCTTCGCCGGAGATCTCTTTCCTCTTCCATCGTCGACTGCCCATTCTTCCTTAAAGTTTTAAGGCCAGCAGACCCATCGTTGCTTCTGAACTTTCTAGAAGGAGTCGCTTTAAGATTTTCCAGAAAAAACTCCGTTTGACATTCGGGTGAGTTCTAGTATCTTCCTTCTTTTCTTCCTCCTATCCCTTTTTGTTTTCCGATGACTGGAGGTGTCTCCGGTTGATACATAGCGACTATTCCTCGGGAAACTTCCTCAGGGATTTTTAAGAAAAAAACACCCTCTACTTTCTCACTTTCTTAGAGATACCTCGTCGTCGCCCTGCTCCCAAGAATCCTCAGGCTGGTTCTTCGGGGTCGGGGAAGTATAAAGTAAAGGGTGGTGAGCAGATTGATAGGTTTAAGGTCAAGTACGACATTCCCCCGTGCGTAGACATAGAGGATTATGACCCGGTGGTGCACTCTCCTACCCTCGGGGCCGAGGATGCTATGCCCTTTTATACCAAGGCCATAATAGAGGGAGGAATTAGGTTTCATTTACCCCCTTTACTTCTTCAGTTCCTCTCTCACTTTCGCCTCTTCCCCGGGCAATGTTGCCTTAATGTTTTCAGAATAATCATGGGGGTCTTAGAGCTCAATAGGCGTCTCGGGGTAAATATTGGGCTCAACGATCTCCTTTTTTGTTATTCTCTCCTGAGAGTCATGCCTCACCAACACTTCTACCTCAAAGCCAGGAACCCCTCCATGTACCTTGTAACTCATCTTCCCGACTTGGACAAGGGGTACAAGGACGATATTCTTATTTTCAAGGGATCTTGGCAGAGAGGTGTTGGTCCCGAGTATAACGACTTGTTATGCCCTCTGGAATGGAGAACGACAAGTACGTCGGTTCCTTCGGGTTTATTATTTCGTTCTCCAGATTTCCCATATTCATGACTATTTTTTTGTTTGTGCAGATATTCTTGCTCGGGAAACAGCTCCTCCCCCTCGATCACTGGTGAACTTTACCGACCTAGTCACGGTTTGGAGATTTACTG